CACGCCCCTTCCGTGCGCGCAGGCGCCGTGGGCCAGGGGCGGGGTGAGGCGGGACTGTGTGAGGGCAGGGTCGGCTCCGGGTTTGATCCCGCTCCCGGTGCCGGTCCCGGTTCTGTTTCCGCTCCGCACCTTCTCGCTTCCGGGACAGCGGGCACATCATGGGCTCCCTGCGGCTCCTCGTCCCCCGCTGGTGCCGCTACGCCTCCCCCGCTGTGCTGCGGGCGCGGTGCGCAGCCCCCGGGATGGGACCCAGGCAGGCGCCGCTCCTGTCCCTGCCCCCAGGCCAGGGCCCGCTGCCGGGCTGGAGAACGTGCAGCTCCTCCCAGGCCTCCTCCAGACTGCCCGGTAGCGACCCGAAAGACATCAGTGCTGGAAGCCCCGCTGGAGCTGCCGAGGAGCAGAAGGATGACGATGATGATGATGATGATGAAGGTGTGGAGTTTGGGACGCTGTCTGATAAATTTTCCTCTAGGAAATATTACCACAAAACCACAGCGCGCTTTCGGGATTTAAAGCTTCGAGAAGAAGGAGAAGAACCAGAAAGAAAACCTCGACGTGGCCCTAAGAACACTCCATACTGGTATTTCCTACGGTGCAAGGCTCTCATCAAAGAGGACAAGGTTTGAGCCCAGCTCTTCTCTTGTTTTTAATAGCACTGATGAAAGATGCAGCACTGACTTGCTGTGTATCACTTGGTATCTTTACAGAAAGAATTAAGATAAGAATTTCCTGTAGAATCATCATAAAACAGTTTGGGTTGGAAGAGACCTTAAAGATATCCAGTTCCACCCCTTGCCATGGGCAGGGACACCTTCCACTATCCCAGGTTGCTCCAAACCATGTCCAGCCTGGCCTTGGACACTTGCAGGGATCCAGGGGCAGCCACAGCCTCTTTGGGCACCCTGTGCCAATGCCTCACTTCCCTCACAGTAAAGGATTTCTTCCCAATATCTGACCTAAATCTCTCCTCTGTCAGCTTAAAACCATCCCCTGTCCTGTTATCACATGCCCTGCTCCAAAGACCCTCTCCAGCCTTATTGTGAGGAGCCCCACGTTTGTAGGAATTGCACTACAATCTGCCCACAGCTGCATATATTAATATCCATTGTAGTTGATTCTCTTGCTGCCTGTTGATGGATTTTCTCATCCTTGTAGCTGGCAGAGGCTCTGGAGCTGTTTGAGGTGCAGATGCTGAAGGAGGAGCGTGTCCAGCCAGAAGAAGGCAATTACACTGTTCTCATTGGTGGCTGTGGCAGGGTTGGCTACGTGAAGAAGGCATTCAGGCTCTACAATGATGTAGGTTTAACTTCTCCCTCAAAGTATTTTCTAAGCTAGAAGTATTTCAAGCATTCAGTCATGTTCATTTGTCTCCAGAATGCCTTTGCATTAGTGTTGGCACCTTCGTAGCCTGAAACTCTTAAAAAAGTTAAAAAATTCAAGCTGTCCTTTTGTAAAAAAGCCAGTTCAAGTCCTTCTTCTCTTCCTTCAGATGAAAAAGCGAGGGTTGATCCCCACAGAAGCCACTTACACGGCCCTGTTCAACGCCTGTGCCGAGTCCCCCTGGAAGGACTCGGGGCTGCAGAGCGCTCTGAAACTGCGGCAGCAGCTGCAGAGCAAAAACCAGGAGCTGAACCTCATCACCTACCACGCCCTGCTGAAGGTCTGTGCCCTCTGCTCAGACCTCAGGATGTGCTTGGATGTACTCAAGGTAAATTGGTTTTCCTCTATTAAACCTCTTCTGTGCTGTGGTTAAAGCTCCTGGAAGTCGGCACATTGCATCAGGTTTTGATTTCATTTCCAGCAGAGATAATTACAGATCATGTGTTTCTGTTTAATTGATCCTTATTGTCTTACAGTGAAATTGTATGTACCAAATACAATTGGTATTGGTACCAAAGTCTAAACTTAGAGGAGGCAGTTTTGGCTTTAAAACTGGCTGGGTGTGTCTATAACTTGTTACATCTATCCCGAGAAGACGAAGGTGGTTTTTGACTTCACCACACAGGGTAACTGGGAAGTGTAATGCTCTCTCTGCTCTTTTCAGGAAATTGTGCAGAAGGGCCATGTCCTCACAGCTGAGACCTTCAGCTTCCTTCTCATGAGCTGCATAAAAGACACCGAAAACGGCTTCAGATTTGCCTTGCAGGTTTGTCCTTGTGTTCTGAGAGGGGGGAAAGTGCTGCTGTGTTTAACTCATCCCCTGAATGCATGGAAAGCAGTGGGGTGGTGAAATGGGAGGAGTTCAGCTCCTCCTTGTGAAAGTTCTGCAAACCAGACTTTGCTCAGGTAAATAACCCTGGATCATCTCACAGGGCTCTCCAGCTCAAGGTCACTGTCCTTGCCATGCTGTACATTCACTCCTTCTCACACAGATCCCATTAACAGTTGTACTTACAGGCTGCTGGAGATGCTCCTGTTATTTAACATCCATCTTCCCCTGTTCAGGTTTGGCAGCAGATGAACAAGCTGGGAATCAGGGCTGACAGCCACACCTACAACCTGATGCTGCGTGCGGCCAGAGACTGCGGGATCGGCAATCCCACTGTGGCCTCCAAGCTCCTGCTCAGCCCCCCTGAGAACCCACCTCAGCTAAAGCTGCCACCTGGCAGGAAGGAAAAGGTGAAAAATCAGAGGAAGAAGGGATCAGAGAGTGCTGCTGTCCAGCTGGATGTGGAAGCTATGGAAAAGCAATTGTTTCAGGAGAGTTTGGTGCAGCCCGAGGAACGGATCCAGCCACAAAATAAAGATGTGGCTGGGGCTGAAGCAGAACCAGCTGCTCCTGACAGCTCCAATGTCACTCACAGCAGGGCTGGAGCCTTGATGAGGAGAGCCCAGAGTGAGATGGAACAGGAACAGCCACACCCAATCCAGAAGCTGCCTTTGTGCAACCTGCCCAACTTGCTGGATTCCAGGGTGGCTGACACAGCCGTGGTTTCCCTGGGGACAGTGGCCACACCATCCCACAGACTGGCTCTGATGGGGGATGTGGAGGGATTCTTGAACAAAATGAAAGAGGACAATGCAGAGCCCAACATTAAAACATTCACATTACTGGCTGAGCTGGTGGAACCCCAAAGCCCCTCAGAGTCCTCTCTGCTGGCATTGCTGGATGATCATAAAGTAAAAGTAGATGTGACCTTCTTTAACACTTTAATGAGGAAGAGAAGTAAACTGGGAGACCTGGAGGGAGCAAAGGTGAGAGAAAAACCTCAGAACCAGCTTCATCACCACCTGATGTCTCAGGCTTCTCTTTTGCTGAGACCCATTTCTCTGTCCACAGTAGAAACTGGGATCTCACACCGTTTCCCACAAGGTGGTGCTTGGGGTAATTTCTAAGTATTTATGGATTCTGTTCTAGCATGTCCAGCTCCCTGTCTGGAAAGCTACAGTAAGAATTTTTGAGAAGTGATGCCAACCCTTGTATCTTGCAGAGCATGCTGCCAGCTCTGGTGAAGAGGGGACTGTCACCTAACCTCCACACATTTTGTAACTTGGCAATTGCCTGCCACAACCAGCAGGATGGACTGCAGCTGCTCTCGGATTTGAAGGTAATCAAAGAAAACTCCTCTGCTGCTTGGGGTCTGGGCTGCAGGAAGAGGCAAAGTGAAGTGTTAATGCTTTTTAAAGACCTGCTGAGGTTTTTGCGATGAGTGGTTTTGTTCTCTTCACAAAAACATGCAGCTCCAGAGTAGCTGGAGCTCAGGTGGTCTGTCTTAGCTTGTGCTGGCACTGCACAAGCTGCTTCACAGGTCCTGTGATGAGAGCTGTAAAAAGTAAAAAATGCCTCTCTGCCTTTTCCTTCCTGCACTAGTCAGCAGATAAACTTGTTTAACCATAGCATTTGCTCTTTGCAGAGGTCTGGAATAACCCCCAACAAGCACATCTACAGCAGCCTGATTGCTGCAGCTGTGAGGCAGCTGGATTACAGTTACCTCACGGAGATCCTGCGGGACATGAGGAACACGCAGGTGCCTCCCAATGAAGTCATCATCCGGCAGCTGGAGTTTGCAGCACGGTACCCTCCCAAGTTTGACAGGGTAAGGAGCCACGACTGGCAGGCTGTGAGGGCATAAATATAATGGTTTAATGTCTGCCTGAGTGTCCTCTGGGTTTGCCTGGTCTGGTTGATGATTACTTGATCACCGTTTCTTTGTAGGATCTTGTAGCTCCTGCAGGCTGGTGCTGAAGTGAGCTCTCATCTAACAGAAACTTTTTCTGGTGGGTTTCTCTTTGCAGTACAAGCACAAAAACCCATACCTGGAGAAGATTGATGGTTTCCGTGGCTACTACTACCGCTGGTTAAAGGTGATGGCTGGAGAGGAGACCCCCCACCCCTGGGCCAAGTACAGGACAGCAAAGCCTGGGGGGCAGGACAGCGAGGCAGAGGCTGTGCAGGAAAAGGGAGCAGGATGCTGAAGTTTCAAGTTCTTCCAGCACAAGGAAGATGCATGACTTGCTGCTTTAAACTGGCTTGTAGTAAAGCTTCTTTGTGTACCCCAACCCCCAGTTCTTGCAATAGTTACATAATAAAATATTTCCTTTTGTTTTAAGGAGGAGCAAGTACATTTTCAGTGAATTTCCTTCAACTGCTGAGGATTAGATGGGCTGTAGTTTAGCAAACCCTGTGCAAACCAAGGAAGAAGCAAAATCAGATTTAAGAGGGGCTTAGCTCAGTGCTGGTCTTGTCTGTGTCCTGTCACTTCACATGTGACCTCTAAGTCTCTAGACTGCTGGCATTCCTGAAGGGATCTGTGCATTAATTCCAGGTTACAGACCTCAGCAGAGAATTCCAGTGAAATGCAGCTCCCATCTGCACATGGTCAGGGAAGAACCCAGACTGGACATTTGGGAACTATTTCTTTTCCACACAGCCTTTTAAACTGACTCAGTTGAGGAAAAAACCCAGAGCAGCTCACTGTACAGAGCAACCTTCAAGCACCCAGAACACATCCAACAGGAGAAGAGGGGCACAGGAATGTTTCACCAGAAGATCACAGCACTCTCTCAGGAAGGCAAGCTTTATTTTAAAATAAATGGCTACACAAAACCCTACTCCAAAGCACCCCCCATTTATGCATGATCCAGGTGACCATGCTGATGCTTTAATTTAATACAGAAATAGCCCATCACAGAAAATGGCTGTAATTGCACACATAGTCCATTGAGAAGGAGGAGGGTGTCCCTCAGAGTTCAAAAAACAAGTTTGATGGCAAAAGGCTTCACCCAGAGCAGCCTCTGCATCCACAGTGAGTGCACTCAATGATTCTGCCCTGAAACACAAACATGAGGAGGGTGTTAGAGCCAAGCACAGCCAGAGCAGCAGGCTCAGACCCCCAGGCAGGGAATGTCTCTGGGTGGGAAAGGTTTCCACAGTCTGGTGTTATTTCCCATACTTTTAACAACCTTAAATGAATGCCAAAGCTGACAGTAACTTCAGCACCAGCTGGACACCAATTCTACCAGCAAAGGCAGAGGAAATGACCAGGAATTACAGCACTACTCTGCTGTCCCTGGGCTGGGAGAGGTCAGAACTACAGCAGGGCAGAGGAACAAGCTGTACACTCACCACTTCCAGCTTGCTTTTGGGGACCCTGCAGATGCAGTTGGTGCCAAAGTTGGTGTCCCGAGTCTGGATGCAGCGCAGGCAGCAGAGGTTCTCATAGCCCTGCTTCTTCCACTTGGCAATCAGGTTTTTGTCAGCATAGCCCTCCTTGATGCAGTACTCATAGAGCTCTGGGGGGAGCAGACAGTCACAAGTTAGCAGGAGATACTAGCTGTAGTAACCAGCAGGTAGAGCTGGGCAGCTGCCAAGCCTTCCCTCCACCCTCCTTCCCCAGAAACCTGCTCCCACCAACTCCCAGTTCAGTTCACAGGTGAACACCTCACTCATTCCAGTTTGGCCCTGCCCTCCTCACCTCTGCTGATTGCTTTCCTCTTGTAGAAGAGATCAAAGATGTAACGTGTTTTCTGGTGGTGGATCCTGAAGATGGGCCAGAGAGACTCCACTTTCCTCTTCCCTTCGTGTGGCTCTGTCTCAGCTGGGAGGGAACACAAACAGCAGGTGACCAAGTGCTTCCCTCACTCACTTTGCAATAAACTGTTCCAAGAATGCTCATAACTTTATTACATGGCAGGAATAAAACTGAGATTAATGGGAGGAGACTCAAATGAGAGAGACCTGACCTGGAAGAGCTCCTTTAGAATACAAAACCAGTGGTAATGGGGTGACGTGACCCACACTGGGATCAGGGGTGACTTCACCCTACAGGAGCTACCACACACCCATGAGCTTCATCCCCCAACCAGCTGTAACCAAACATCTGTGCTCCGTAACCCCAAAATTAGGAACCAGCATGGCCCAGGATCAACCTACAGCACCACTGGAGGCACAGACACAAAAAAGGTTCCCCTGTATCCATGAAGCAGCTCTTGTGAGCCTGTTTTGGGGTCCCATCCCTGAGAACACCCACTCACCTTCTCTCATCTTCTGGTCCAGCTCGTCCAGCGTGGGCTCGATCAGCTCCCAGCCATCCGGGGGAGGCTTCCTGCTCCTCTTCACTTTGGGCATTGCCTCGGCAGCGAGAGGGCCAAAGGGCGAGGGGAACTCAGCACTCCCTCAGAGTCACTGGGCAAAACGTAAGGAAATCAACTGTCAGATATATTTCTCCTCAGGTTTCTCTGCTCCTTTCCGTTTTTCACTACAAAAATAAAAATGAGCTTTTACGTGAAAAGCTCTGTGCCTGCCGCACGATAAGTCAGTTTTTCTCCTCAGCAAAGCGCGGCAGCCGCTCCTTCTCCGAGCTGACAACTCCGGTCAGTTCCCGGTGATGCAGAGGCCGCCGGCCCGGCCCGACCACCCCACAACGGAACCGGGTCGGGCGGGCTGAGGGGAGGCCGCAGGTCCTGGTGCCGATTCCTGTGCGGACCTCAATCCCTGTCCCTGATCCCGGTCCCTGTCTCTCTCCCCGGTCCCTGATCCCTCTCTCGGTCCCGGTCCCGCTCACCGCCGCTCCCGTCGCGCCGCCGCCGCCGTCACCCGGGGTCCTCTCGCAGCCGCCCCGCCCGTGGCCGCGCCCCCTGGGCTGCCCCGCGCGCTGCCTGAGCAAAGCGCTCCCCTCCGCCCGCGCCGCCGCCCCGAGAGAGCCGAGAGCTGCCGGAGGGAACCGGCCCCGCTGCGCTGCCCCGGCGGGAGCACCGGGAGGGCGGCGCGGGCAGAGCAGCGGCGGCGCTCGGGCAGCTCAGCGCGGGGGCCTCCGCTGGGGGCGGTTCCGGTTCCGGTTCCGGCGCCGCTCGGGCCGGGGGGGCCGCGCCGCCATCGCCGCGATGCCGAAAGGTGGTGGGGGCCGGGCCGGGCCGGGCGTGCCCCGCGGGAGCGGCGGCGGGGGGAACACGGGACACGGGAGAGGAGGGGGCTGAGGGCTGTGTGTGTGCGCCGCCCCGGCCCCGGCGCGGGCAGGGCTCGTGCTCGCCCCCGGCTGTGGAGATGCCGCGGCGGCTCCGCTCTCCCGCTCTCCCGGCCTTGCGGGAGCCTGCGGGGGTCCCTTTCCCCCTCACCGGGCCCCAAACGCGGCTCTGTTTGCGCTCTGGGGAGGGTCTCGGGTTCCCTTTCCCCGTTCTCGGGGGCTCCGGGGCTGCCTCGCCGCGTTCCCCCCGCCCCTCACGACGCCGGGCCCGTTCCGAGCCCCCAAAGCGCCGCGGCGGCGGCGGCGGCGGCAGCAGCGCCTGGGGGTGCCCGCGGCTCCGGGCCCGCTCCATGTGCTGGGACGGGAACTCCCCCGGCTCGGGGCGTGGGGCTCACGGAGCCGCGGGGAGGGGGAGCCGCCCCACCGGGGGCACCGGGGGCTGGCGGCCATCCCGGCCGGGGCTCGGGCTCCAAAGGCGGCTCTTTGATGCTGCCGCGGGTTGGGCGTGCGGAGCGGGCACGGACTTGCTGCTGCTGCTGCTCCCGGTGTGATTCAGGAGCGGGGATGGGGCACGGCCGGGCTGGATCCACCCAGAACCTTCTCCCCGCGCACCATCCGCAGAATTGGCTCTCGCGAAGCCGGGCACACGCGTTAAAGCCAGCCCGCATCGTTCCTCCTCCTCCTCCTGCAGCTTGCTCTGCTTTGTTTCAGCAGCAGCTCCCAGCCTTTAGCACCAAACTGATTCTTGTTTAGATTTTATTGAGCCCCACTTCGTTTTGGGTCCATTTGCACAATGATAGGAGATGGGGCTGAAGCTTTCACGCGGTTTTTGTGAAGGCAAAGAACCATGGCGGGTTATAACCCCGTTTTTCTTATTTAAATGCCTGTAACTCAGGATTTCCTGCTCTTCAGTTCATTGTACAGATTTCAGTGTTTGATTCAAACCTTTTTATTTTTGGAAGAAGAGGGGCTTTGGTCGTTTTCCCCCAAGTCAGTGGGAGTTGTTGGATTGGTGGCAGAAGAGTGGATTTTGGCACTCACTGTTTAATATAAAAGGGAGGGATATAAAGAAGCTACTAATAAATTTTACAGGATTTTTTTAAATTAATTTCCCATTTCCCCCCCCAATACTTTGATTTTAAGAATAAGAGATTCCATCAGTATCATTCCACTGTCTTACATTGAAATTCCTTAATTAGTCTGTTTAAAGCTGAAGACAAATGTGTTTGAACGTGGGCCTGCCTGGGCACCACTGGTCTTTGCTGCAGGTGAAATCTGCAGGTGATTCTGCTTTAAAAGTGCTTCACAGAGGTGGGGAAGAAGCATTATCCCTGTTTTCAGATGGGGAAACTGAGGCACAGAGCTGCTCAGTGGTGTTGGACCAGCTCCCCGTGTCTGATGTGAAGTTTGATTTCCCTATGGAAGCAGAGCCCCATCCCTGCACTGTGCTGAGCTCTTGTGGGCTTCATTCTTCCATCTGCTTCTTTTTAGGCTTTTCATGTAAAATAATTTCTCTTTAGCTGCTTCTCCCCGTTATCAGCAGTGTTTATTTGCAGTTGTGAGCAGTTTGTGTTCCTTGGTGCTGAGCCCAGTCTGGAATCCTGGCAGAGCTGGGTGGGGAGCCCTGGCCAGGCTGGGAGCACGGTTTGGCTCTTTGGGGTTGGTGTGTCACAGATGTCACTGCTGTTCCCTCTGGGTGAGGTCAGGAGCTGGGCAGGGAGGTCCTGTCTCCCCAGGAGCATTCCCAGGGCTGATCTCCTTCCAGAGGGTGCCAGTGCTCCCACGTGGGATGGCTGGGAGCAGACAAACAGACAAACTCCTGTCTGCACCAAAGCCTTGGCTGTGCTTAGGGTTGGAGAGCCCATGAGCTTCCCCAGGGACAAGAATTTGGTCTCTGCACTTCCCTGTCTTTTGGGAAAGCATCTTAGGAGTTTCTGTAAAGCTTCACAGTGAGATTTGGGGACAGAACTAAGGCATTGTGAGAGTTTGTCTGTGCTGAGCTAGGAGAATTGGCCAGGAAATGTTGGATCTCTGAGGCTCCCAGTGCCTCCCAGTGCAACAGAGAGCAGCTCCCCCATGGATCCCACACAGAGCCAGGGAGGGAGGGATGGATGATCCCTCATCCCTTCCCATCCCTGTAAGGTTCCCATTGTCCTTGGGGAGGATGAGGCAGATCCAGAGTTCCCTGCTCCTCCCCTGGCACTCCAGGCCTGCTGCAGTGGCCGAGCTGCCCTGCCAGAGCTGTTTGCTTTGTGCCAGTCTCTCTTTCTCCCTCACTCGGGGCTGTGGGTTGGCTCTGTCCAACTTGCTTCCCAATTCTTTGGGCTGGAATAAGCAGAGCAGTGGCTTGAGGGGAGCATTAATGGCTTCAGCAGTTCATTAATAACAGAATCTGGAACTTGGGGCAGTGCCAGCCACAGGGACTCCCCTTCTGGGTTCCTAGAGCTTGTTTTTATTTTTCCTAATAAAGCAATGAAACTGGAGGCTCCTTTTAGGGCTTCTTCAGCTCCCATTGTAATTCCCAAAGCTTTTGTCCAATTAGCTTCCTATTTTTTCCTGGCACAGTGGGAGTGGTTAAGGAGCCAAGCGTGTTGGAATGTTGGTTGTAACCACAGGAACACACTGTGATTCCTCCTGTGCAGGAAACTGGGATCTGCTGTGGGACTGAGCATCCCCTCCCAGCCTGGGAAGGGAATTGGAGAGGCACAGGCAGGGAAGGGTGATGTCAGTAATCCAAATTCTCTGTGTCTCACCTCAAAATCTTGGAGCATTTCACCAAGTTCACTGGGGGGTTTTGTTTAGGGTCTGTCAGAGGAGTTATTTTGGTTTGTCCTGTCCACACCTAAAATCCAGAGAGTGCTGCAGGAGGAGCAGACCTTTCTGGAAGTTAGCACTGAACCATTTGTTATTTTTATTGTTTTGTGCAGGTAGAAAAGGAGGCCACAAAGGCCGGGCAAGGCAGTACACGAGTCCTGAGGAGATTGATGCCCAGCTCCAAGCAGAAAAGCAAAAGGCAAGGGTAGGTGTTTGCTCCTTTGTGTGCTTTCTGTCCCAATTCCTGCCTTTTCCAGCCTGGTTTTCACTGCTCAGGAGCAATGGCAGCTTAGCCAAGTGCTGCAGATCATTCCAGCAGTGATCACAGCATGGATCCCAAACATCTCCAGCTGGGGAGGCTCCAGGGTGTCACCCAGTCTGGTTCTGAGGCCTGGGAGAGCACCCAGGGCAGCACTGGAAGGTTGAAGGACAGGGAGCTGATTACACAGCAGCTCTGGAGATCTTTTCTCTCCATATTTTATCATTTCAGTCTCCAGTGTCAGCTCATTCTTTATCCATGTTCTGCAGTTTGGCTTTGGAGAACAAGAGCCACATCTTGACATGTTACTGTATATTGACATTATATTTGCCTCTTTCTGTCATAGATTTATGGACCAAACTCCTTTGACTTCTTCCTGGACACATGATTTTCATATTTGCCTCTGCTTTGTAGGAGAGATAAGAGTTTTCTGTGTGGGTGTGTTTCTGTGCCCCAGCATTGGACTGTAACAGCTCCCCCCACTTCCACCACAACCTGACTGCTGTCATAAAACTCTTGGCTGCTTTTTGGGGCCCTTGCTCTCTTTATTCCCAACTTATCACAGCTCTGGTGACACTCTGATGTTTTCTGTGACTTTCTGGAAGTGCTGCCTCAGCCCAAATACACAATTCCAGCTGAGGCCTCACAGCACTGACCACAGGAGGATAATTACACCCCATGTAGGAAATCCTGGTGAATGCCTCTGAGATGACTCTCAAGCAGTTCTGAGCCATAGTGTTGAGTCCTTTTTAATGTTTTGCCCAGCTGCAACTCGAGATGATTGTTTGGTTTGCTGCTTAGCCACATATTCCAGCTTCATGTTGGATTTCCTCTTCCAAACTGTAACTCCTCTTGGTTGGTTTCTGATTCCACCTTCTTGGTTTCATGCCATATTTCCAAATTCTGAAACCACTGATGAGTCTCATCCTGTTTTCCAAAATAATTCCAACTCCTACCAGTGTGATGTCATTCACAAACTGTGTGAGTGTTCTCTGCTTTCATGTTGTTAATAAAAATATTGACTGGAAGTGGAACACAAAAGCAGGACCCACTTGAAATGTGTGTCCTGTTTCACAGCAAACCAGAGAACTGCTCTTTGAGAAGGATTTCTTTTTTGTGATAGTCCATATAATATAGTGATGGTTACATCTAACACTGATACATTAAGGAAAACTTTAAAAACCCCCTACAATTAACAAAATTACTCCTCTTACTATTCCTTGCTCATCCACTTTGCTGGTTGCTTGATGAGAGGTATTGGTATGTAAAACAAGCTGTTCACACCCATGCTTGTTCTTCGTATGATTCAGAAATTAATGCCCAGGTTCTGAATAGTGGAAGCTAAAAAGGCTTTAATTCCTTGGATAATAATGCTCAGGTTGATGGTTGTCCATTTTCTCCTCTAGGTGTTTTTGTTTATCCACAGGATAAGGTCTAAGCTGCATCCATGTAGTTTCCAATCTCTGATGTAGTGTGCACTGGAAACCCAGGCTAAAATTCTTCTGGAGAGCTTTGATTTGGGGAAAGTGAAGTGCCAGTGGTGTCTTTCAGAGTCATTTTCCTGTTAGAGAGAACAGCAGAGTTGTTTGGAGATGATGCTGAGGAAGAGCCCTCATTCTGTGACAGCCAGCCCCCCTTGGTGACACAAGGCCTCATCAGGAGCACCAGTGCTCAGAGCTGGCTCATCCCTCCAAAATCTCATTTAAGAGCTGGGTTTGGGGTTTTTAGTGACATAAATTTCCTCTGATTCTGTAGGAAGAGGAGGAGCAAGAAGAAGGAGGAGAAGGAGCAACAGGGGACCCTAAAAAGGAGAAGAAATCTTTAGATTCAGATGAGAGTGATGAAGATGATGAGGATTATCAGGTACTGCATTCTCAGGGTACTTAATGCACTTAACATTTGGGCTGGGGGGAGATGGACACTCTGCGTTCTGAGCAGAGCCACCTGGAGTGCACTTTTTGTAGAACTACTTCTAGAAACCAAAAAATGCTCACTTGGCAGCAGTTTGCTCTCAGAATGAGAACTTGTGAACATTTACAAATGAAATACAAAGGCAACAAGACTTTTTAAAAGGCTGAAGGTGCCTTGATTCATAAATGATTTGTAGTAAAAGCTTGCCTTGTGCTTTTGGGGTGCTTTGCAGTGTGTTTGGGGTGGCAGAGCTCCTCAAGCTCCCTCTTGTTGTTGACAGCAAAAGCGCAAAGGAGTGGAGGGGTTGATAGACATAGAGAACCCCAACCGTGTCATTCAGACAACCAAAAAAGTCACTCAGCTGGACCTGGATGGACCCAAGGAGCTCTCACGACGAGAGAGGTGAGTGTTCCCTGCTCACCCTGCAGTTTCACCCTGCAGTTTGGTGCAGGGAGGTGTTTCCCCTGCTCTGTGGCAGTGTTTCAGAGACATCCTTAAAAGTGTATTGCTGCCTAAAGTAGGCACTGAGCAGCAGCAGACTGAGCTCACTGTGCTTCAAAATGTGGTTCCTTAGAAACTTCTCAGGAGCTCTCTGTCCTCTAGGCTATCCTGGAGCCAGGCAGCCTGCCCTGGTGCTCTGAGAGAAAGGGATTTAGGCCATTCCTTTCCTGAGGTTTTATGCCAAAAATCAGACCTAACAGAAACCCTGAAATCACACTGCTGTGAAAGAGATTTAGGCCATTCCTTTCCTGCAGTTTTATGCCAAAAATCAGAGCAGAAATCCATTAACCAGAGCTCACTTTGGATCCACTTTAATCCTGCTGCAGAAGGTGCTCTAGTGACAGGTAGCAGTTCCCCAGATTCCAAATATTTTTATCTGGCAAGATTAATTACCTGGAAACCAAAGTTTAATCTTCTAGTTTCATTTAGCAATGGTGAAGTTTGGAAGGTTTAATCTTTTTTATTTGGGATAGATTGCTTCAGCAGAAGGACACCTTTGAGGGTAAGGCAGGGAAAAACATGTCACAGTTCTTGTGATGTGGGGCTAAATCTCCTTGTGTGTGGAGGAAGGAAGGAAGGTAGAAATAATCTCTCACCTCACCCCTGTTCAAACCCTGCAAATAAACAGAACCTGTGCTTGAAAGTTGGTGAAGGACCCCCAGTTTTGGGTTTTTTTCCTGGTTAGAAAGCCCCACTCTGCCTGTTCCCCTGGATACTCTGGTGACTGGTGTGTTTCCTTTGGGCAGAGAGGAAATAGAGAAGCAAAAGGCAAAAGAAAGATACATGAAAATGCACCTAGCTGGGAAAACAGAGCAAGCCAAGGCAGACCTGGCCCGATTAGCCATCATTCGGAAGCAAAGGGAAGAAGCTGCCAGAAAGAAAGAAGAAGAAAGAAAAGGTTAGAGAATAATTAATCATTTTCTCCTACCTTTCCAAGAGGCACACATCCCTCCTCTGAGCCTGTGTGGTGTTGCTGAGTGTCATTAACTCCCCTCAGCAAAGCCAGGCTCAGCTGTTTCCCTCTCATCAAGTTCTTGCTTTATAAACAAGAATTGGACACGAGAAGGGAATTGCCCTGGGTGTCCATCTTGTCCTCTGCCTCCCAGGCAGTGCTGGCTCCAGTTTGGGGGTTTGGCAGGCTCCTTGTGCTGGGTGATTTGTGTGGTTTGCATGTGGGGACCTGAACTGCCCAGGGAGTTCCCAGCACTCCTTCCCTGGGAGGTGTGAACCAGCAGTCTGAGCGTGGCTCCGTGGTGCCTTCCACAGAGAAATTTGGGCATCAGGGTGACTTGGGGACACCTGGAGAGAGGGGCCAGGGATGGAAGGGAACATCAAGAGGGGCTGTGCCTCTTACCTCTGAGAAATTGGTGGGAAGGGTGGGATTTTTCCATGACCCAGTTGGCAGGATTCAAATCCCTGGGGCTGCCAGAGCTCCCCCAGTCCCTGATGTGCACCATGAGATGATGAAACTCTGTTTGTTGTTCTCCTCCCCAGCAAAAGACGAAGCGGCCATGGCAGGTAAAAGACTGCAGTCACTATCCCTTAACAAGTAAGCACAGGCCATGCAAGAGGAGGAAACACCAGGGAACTGTGCCTGGTCCTGCCAGGAGCTCTGCCTTCCATCGCTGCCACGCAGGGCACCCCGCAGCATTGACCTCACCTCCACCTCCAAGAGACACTGACGATGTGTTTGTCCTCATCCTGGCACAGATTTCCATTTGGGGTTAGGGGCAGCTGCTCTCTGCAGTGCAGAGCTGTGCTGGACAGCAATTCCCTGTAACAGTTTGGAAACATGAATGTTTTTGCTGTTTTTAGGATCAAGAAGTCGTAGACGGTGGGAGGGGGGCAGGGTGGGAGGGAGCTGTGTGGGAGGGGAGGTGCTTCAAATACTAGATTGCAAGAAAAATAGATTGTGGGGTCGTTTGGGGGTGGGGCATGGGATGGGGAACTGACTTGGTATGAAATCCCAAAGGATAATGTATCTGAGGAATCCAGTTGGCAAAGAGCCCATCAAATTTTGCTGCAGGGCGTTGCAGTATAAGCTGGGAGCCTGACTTCATGGACATCTGGAGTGCCGTTCCTTCCTGGATTCATCCCTCCTTTCTTGCAGCCAGTCTCCCCTTTTCCCTCCTCTTCATTTTCTTTTTCTCCTCCTTATTAGGGATAGTGCCAGTTTTTAACCACATCATCCTTTGTTTAAAGGAGAAAAAACAAACAACATTTATTGTGTCAGATCCAGATGGAAAAAACAAAAAACAAAAAGCAAAAAAGAACTTGATCAAGTTTAAAAACCACCAAGAGAACTTGTATATTTGGCTGATTAAACTGTAAGTTATCAGAGCTGCTGTGGCCTCGTGTGTGTGTGAAGGGCACAGCTGGGGGGTCCTGGGGGAGCTCAGCTGCACTGGGGAGCTGCTGGTTGTGATGTTTGGGGTTTGGCTCTGGGTCAGGAGCTCCTGAGCACACACAGCCTGAGGGAAAAAGCTTTTCCTGCTGATTCTGATGGATGTCTTGCACAATCTGTTTACCACGGTGGAGGAAACAATTACCCTCAGGCTGTGTCTGGCCTGGTCCCCCGTCAGAAGGGCAGTCACTGCACTGTCACCTCCCCTCAGATGTCACAGCACTGCCACCTCCTCTCAGATGGCTCTGGAGGGGAGCAGCCCCAGCCTGCTGTGCCCCAGGACCAGCCTGTTCAGGGACACCAGTGCTTCCCAGACTCCCCAAAGGCTGGACATCCATCCAGCCCCAGGGCTTGGAGCACTGGAAGTCACTGGGAGAGGGGTTGCAGCTGTGGAGATGAAGGGTGACAAACAAAGGATTTGTTCTCATGGATTTGGGCACAAGGGTGTGACACAGGACTGTGCCCCAGAGACTGTCACTGTGAGCTGCTGGCTCAAAGCACAGCTCAGGCCAAGCCAAGATTTGGGGTAGGAGATGCTCCCAGGGAGCTGTGGAAGATGAGCAGGTGCTGCAGGAGAGGTGCCTGTGCTCTCAGCTCCAGGAGGGAGGAGCTGGTGAGGTGGGGACAGCCTGACATGGGACAGTGGGTGACCCTTGGAGCACAGGGAGGTGGATGGGGCAGGACAGGGGGAGGTTTTGGGATGGAGCAGGGCAGGAGCCGCAGGGGAGAGGGCTGAGGATTGTGAACACATGGAAAGGGGTGGAGAAATCTCCAAGTAACAGCTCCCACTGACAGAGGGCTGGAGCAGAACTCAGATGTCACTGTCCCTCTGCAGCCACTGCTCCCTTCCCAGGCCAGGGGAAGGTGCAGGATTTGCTGGGCAGCCCAAGGTCTCTGAGCTGGCTCCAGGTTTGGGAATTGCCCACCTGCCAGGACTTTACCAGGGAACTGAGGGAATGATAAACCTGTGCTCCCTGGCCGCTTCCGTCCTCTGCCCTCCATTTTCCTCAACACCAATCCAGGTTTGAAATGGTGCTGAAGCAGGGAACAGAAAAGTGCCATTCCCTTTATCCCCACAATCCCAATTCCCACTCAGCACTGGTGGCAGAAATGATGCGACCACCTGTGCCACAGCACTGTGCCCTGATCACACCTGTGTTTGCACTGAACTTGTTCTAAAAAAGTGCAAAAAACCCCTGTTTTGATTTATTCAGGAAAATCCTTTATTTGCTATTTCTCCAAGCAATGTGTGACCAGCATTGGGAAGGATGGTAACAAAAATAGTAAGAAAAATGGAGGTTTTATGTCTGCAAACAGCCACCAGGGCTGGCTGGCAGCAGGGACAGGCACTGGTGGCATTGAGGCACAGCGTGGGGGTGGCACAGGGCAGCAGGCAGAGCAGGGGCACAGCAGGGACAGCTGGAAGCTGGGATGCCCTTCCCGGGTGGCTCCTTCATTTGATCTTGAGATCCTTCAGCGCCGACTCCAGGCTCTGAAATGAAACAGGAAATGAAACAGGAGGGTTTTCAGCAGCTCATGGCAGCCCAGAGACAGTGGAGGTGGCTGGGGAGCAGGAAAGGGGGGAACGGGGCTGGTTCAGTGCTGGTACTCCCAGCCTGAGGGGTCCACGGGGATTCCTTACCTTGACATCCCAGATGCTCATGCCGCCGTCCATCCCCGTGGTACAGAACTGGGAGCACTTGTCCTTCCCACCAGTCAGCACTGAGATCTGGCTGTGGGTGCAAGGAGGGAGCAGGAATGAGTCCCAGGGCTGAGCCCTTAGGGGTGGGAATGGGGCTGGACCCCCTCATCTCCCCCACAGTGCAGGAAGGCGCTGGGGATAGACAGGGACACTTGGAAATAGCCAGGGATGCTCCAAGGATGCTCCAGGACCATCCCAGCTTTTGGGACTAGACCTCTGTACCTCCCCATCCCACATCCAAGGATTCTTTTGGGATACGCTGGGAAATTCAAGGATAGCCAAGGCTGTCACAGCTCCTCGTGCAGGAGCCTCAGTCTCTCCCTCACATGTGCTGGGATGCCCAGGGACATTCTGGGGATATCCAAGGATGCTCCAGGGCTGTCCCAGCTCCTGGGCACACCCAGGGACCATCGACCTCGCGGTGCCCCAAGCCTGGCCAGCCCCACCTGATGCTGTTCTTGTGCAGGGTGTCCAGGGTGGCATTGGCCGTGTCCGAGCTCGCTTTCTTGTCCAGGTTCTGGAAGCGCTCGCGGGCGGTGAGGCCGCGCTGGGAGCTCTGCTTGGGCACGTCCAGCTTCCCCCCGAAGCTCAGGGCGCCCTGGCTCTCCTCGTAGGTGAACAGCATCGGGCAGCAGTCGTGGCCCTGGGGAGCAAACCCCAAACCCGCCCTGCTCAGCATCCCCGGGCGGCTCCGGCCGCGGCTCCCAGCCCGTGTCCCTCCCTGCCCGCACTCACCGCGGCCACCAGGCTGTGCTCGGTGATGAAGGTGACAGCCAGCAGGGGCAGCGTCTCGGTGCACAGCGAGGCAACGCTGCGAGGTGTGAAACGCCAGCTGAGCTCCAGCCTCAGTGCTGAGACTGGCACAGCTCATCACACACGGGGGGAACCCCACGAGGGGAGACACCACCTCCTCCACCCGTGGGGATCTGGGGACGTCCCAGGTCCTGGGACTGAGCCCTCTGTGGTCTACAGGGATGCTCAGGAGATATTCAGGGATGGTCAGAGATACTCCAGGTATGCTCAGGGATGATAATAGATACTCAGGGATACCCTGGGCTGCTCCAGGGCTATTTCCAGCTCCTGAGGCTGAACCCCTCTACCTCCCCCACCCAAGTACAGAGATGCTCAGGAGATACTCACAGATGCCCAGGGATGTTCTAGGGCTAACCCAGCTCCTGAGGCTGAACCCTTCCATTACCCAGACCCACATGCATGGACACTGGAATTGCTCTTGGCCCAACCCACCCCAGATACCTCCATGCCCGTGTTGGTTTGGGGGCTAAGCCCTGCTGCCACCCCCAGCACAGCCTCCCCCAGTCCCCCCTCGTGTCCCCAGCCCTGCTTACGCCATCTTCCTGCCCGCATCAGCAAGGCACAGGGTGCTGTCGTGGCTGACCCAGGCCACGCGGGAGCCGCTGGCCGAGAAGCTCACGCTGTGCACCCACCCACAGCTGCTGCTGGACTCGAACATCAGCTCCCCAAAAGGCATCTTGGAGCCCCAGGGCGTGGGGCTGGGCCGCTCCTCCACCTCCTTGATGTAGGCTGAGAAGATCCTGGCAGGGGGAGAGCCTTGCATGTGTGCCTGGGTGCAGGATCTGTGCCACCCTCATCCCTGCCTAATAGAGCCTGTGAGGTGCCCCCCTACCCCCCAGGTGCTGCACCCCTGGGATGGTCCCCAGACCTCCCTGCATCTCCCCTGTGCCCCATTCCCTGCTCCAAACAGCCCCTGGGCTGAACCCTGCCCCCCAACCCATCCTTGGGGATGCATGGGGCCCCCCAGTCCCCCAGCCCCTGCTCCTCACCTGCACTTGAAGTCACAGGAGCCAGCGGCCAGGAGGACGTTGTTGGGGTGCCAGTCCAGGCTGAGCACCGTGGAGCGGATGGGCTTCTTGATGTGCTTGCAAACCCACCTGTGTGCAGAGGGGGTGGCAGCAGAGGGGCAGCATCACCATCCCCAGAGGCCCCCTGGGATTTTGGGGAACTGCCTGGTGTTGGGCAGGGCACCAAGTGTGCCAGGAACTGCCATAGCAGCTTGGGCATGGGGAGTCCATCCCTCCATTTCCCCATCTGTTTCCACCTCCAGCTCCTCCAGTCTCTTATTTCCCAATCCATCCATCCCCCGTCTGTCCGTCCGTCACCCATCTCCCATCAATCCATCCATCCAGGCGTCCCCCTCAGAGCCTCACCAGTCGTTCTCCTGCTCGAAGTAGCAGATGGAGATGAGGCGGGAGCCGCTGCCCACGGCGAATTTGTTCTCCTTGGGGGACCACTTGACGCAGCGGGCGGCGCGGTTGATCCTCAGGATCACCAGGGTGGGCTTCCAGACGTTGCCCTTGAGGGTCCACACGTAGGCGTTGCGGTCGGTCCCGCACGTCACCAGCCGGTTGCTCTCGGGGGCCCAGTCAATGCCTGGAAGGGAGAGGGGGATGGTGGTGGCCCACGGTGGCCCAGGGAGCCTCAGGAATGGCAATGGTGGCACTCAGGGCTGGGGGTGTCTGAAGGCGTGGTTGTTCTGGGTGGTCTTTGCTTCACAGTTCCTCTTTGCCCCACACCATCCCTCCCACCTCAAAGCATTCCATGTCAACCCATCCCACCCCATCTCTCTCATCCATACATCTCATTCCACCCCATCCCTTCCCATGCCACCCACACCATTCCATTCCATCCCAACCATCTCTCCTATATATCCATCCATCCATCCACCCACCCTACCCCAACCCTTCTCTTCCCATCCATCTCAATCCATCTTACCCCATTTT